TTTATTTCTGCTGAACTTTTCCCCTTTAATATTTTTTTAGCCCTAAGTCAGTCATTAAACCTAGACTTGGTTATCTAACAAGAATCTATCATAGCCTGCAGTCCACTAAATTATATGCAATGCTAAAATTGTTTTTATTGGACAGAATAATCTACTTTAAGGAAAACAAAAACCACAAGACACCTTTCCTACTAGAAGGAACATAGTCAAGTTGACACAGGCAAATTGACTGAGTCAAACTGACACAGTCAAGTCAGGAAGTATTTATTAAAGACTTGCTATGTATATATAAGATATAAATAAAGATATAGATAATATTTGCTAAGTTGAAGATGATCTCAAAGGGAAGGTACTAGCATTAAGAAGTACTGGAAAGGAATTCTTGCAGAAGGTGAGATTTTAGCTGTGTTTGAAGGAATCCAGGGGAGTCAGGAGGCAGCAGTGATGAGAGAAAGAATGAAAGGAATGGAGTACAGCTAGTGATGGATGGATTTGCAAAATGGAGATTTTTTGTGAGGAACAGTAAGGAGGCCAGTATCACTGGATCAAACATGGAAAGGAGTAAAATATAAGAAAACCGGATAGGCAGGAAGAAACCAGATCATGAAGAACTTTAAATGCCAAATAGAGAGTTTGATCCTAGAGGTAATAGGGAAGCAATGGAGTTGATTGAATAGGAGTGACATAGTCAGACCTGTTCTTAAGGAAGAGCACAAAGATAGAGTAGCATCTGGACTGGAGTGGAAAGAGACTTGAGGCAGGAGACTAACCAGCAAGCTACTGCAACAGTCCAAGCTGGACAAGGTGAGGGTCTGCACTAAGGTGGTAGCAGTGACAAAGGAAGCCCTGGATTGGGCTTCCTTCCAGCATCAAACATTACAGAAAGGAAGAAAAACACCATGACATACAACACCACGAGGTTTCTAATATGACTTGTGTACAGAGCTCCATCATTCTGTACCATTCCATTAGGCAGAAGACAGTTATGAACATCTAGAAGTGAACTCTCTGATATCTAATCTCTGATCATTCTGTACTCTTCCTGTCTATGAGTAATGCCATATTCAGAAGGACAAGGTCCTAAAAGTGATAGAGATACATAACAGGTATCTATCAAAAAACACAGTATGCATTTTTGGTGATAAGAATGGATTTTATCCATTTTTATTTTTATATTAACCTCTTACTTGACAAATCTAATAGTCTTTTCCCAATATTCATTCCTCTTGACTTTTCTACAACCTTTGACACTATTAATCACCCTCTCCTCCTTGATACTTTCTTGGTTTTTGTGATGTCACTCTCTCCTGCTTCTCCCCCTACCTATCTGACTGCTCCTTCTCAGATTCCTTTACTAGATATTCATCCAGGGTCACACCTGCTAACCATGGGTGTCCCAAAGAGCTCCGTTCTGGGCCCTCTTCTCTCTCTGTAGTGTTTAATTTGGTGATCTCATCAGCTCCCATGGATTTAATTATTGTCTCTATCCTGACAATTTTCAAATCTACTTATGTGACCCTAACCTCTCTGCTGACCTCCAACTGTCTATTGTACATCTCAAGATGGATATTCTACAGGCATCTTAAACTCAATATGTCTAAAACTGAATCCCTTATCTTTCCCCACCCCACCTCAAACTTTACTAGCACTATCAAAGGGACTACCATCCTCCTAGCCACCCAGGCTCAGAACCTAGGTGTCATCCTCAATTTCTTGTTCACTCTCACTGCCCCCCCATATCTAATCTGTTACCAAGGCCTGTCAAATTTTGCCTTTGAAACATTTCTCCTTTCTTTCTGCTACCCTGCCACCACCCTGGCACAGGCCCTTATTACCTCACACCTGGATTTTTACAACAGTATGCTAGTTGATCTCCCCACCATAAGTCTCTCCCCACTCCAGGCTATCCTCATCTAAGCTGTTAAGTTGATCTTCCTAAAGGGCAGGTCTGACCATGTCACTCCCTTACTCAATAAACTTCAATGGCTCCCTATCACATCCAGAATCAAATATAAAATCCTCTGGCATTTATAGCCCTTTATAACCTGGTACCTCCCTACCTTTCCAGTCTTCTCATAATTTATTCACCCCTGACCCCTCCACATACTCTACAGTCAAGTGATACCGGCCCCGTTGCTATTCCCTGAACAAGATACTGCATCTCCTGACTCTGAGTATTTTCACTGGCTATACACCATGAATGGAATGTTCTCCCATCTCATTTTCCCTAGCTTCCTTCAAGTTGTGGCTAAAATTCCATCTTCTACAAGGAGCCTTTCTTAATGTCTTTTACTTCTAAAACCTTCCCTCTGTCGATTATTTCCAATTTGTCTTATAGTTGTTTACATGTCGTCTCCCCCATTAGACCATGAGCTCCTGACAGCAGGAATTGTCTTTTGCCTTTCTTTGTAGTTCCCAGGGCTTAGCACAGTACCTAGAACATAAAAGGCTCTTGATAAATGGTTACTAAAGGAGCAGCTAGGTGGTACAGTGGATAGAGCACCAGCTCTGCAGTCAGGAGGACCTGAGTTCAAATCTAGCCTTAGACCAAATACTTAACACTTACGAGCTGTGTGACCCTGGGCAAGTCACTTAATTACCCCCAACTGCCTGGGGAAAAAAAAACAACAACAACAACAACAACAACAAATAAATGGTTACTGACTGACAGCCACATTACTTAAGGGTCTTTAATGCCAAGATAAGAAGCATGGGCTTATTTGGTAGGCAAAAGAGGGCCACTGAAGGATTTTGAACAGAGAAGTGACATATTTAGAGCTATATCTAAGGATGATTAATCCCGTGTTACATGTAGGACAGATTGGAAGGGGAAAGACCTAAAAGTAGAGAGAAAGATTAAGAGGCTATTTCAGAAATACAAGCTTATTTTAGAGTGATAGGGTTGCAACAGAAGGAGGGGGCAATGAGATCATATCAAGGCAGAATTAACAGGATGTGCTAATTGAATATAAATAACTGGTCTCTTAATAATAGTGGGAGCATTACAATAGGTAATGGAGGGGAGGGAATGGGGGAGAAGGTTAACCTGGGATAGGTTATCTAAGGATGAGGCAAAAAATAATAAAGTTCTCACAAAGCTGAAGCTGGACCTTAAATATCCATCTTCTAACCACAGCTGCTACAAAGGATCAGCCCAAAGAAGAGTCGTATAGCTCAAAGGGAAAACTAGGGCAGAAGGAGAAGGAAAATGAATATGATTGAAAAATGACAGCTAAATGGACAGATACTTGATATTATTGTTAGGGCAGCCTCTGTTATACCCATCACCAAACATGGAAATCCAGTTTACTACTACCAACCCCTCCCCTCATAGGTACAAGCTTCTGTACCCAAAGCTTTTCCTAAAGTTTATGGCTTTAGACCAAAGCAAAGCAGCTTCTGAATGCAAAAAAGCCTACTAATCATCCCTAACTGGCTCTTATAAAATTCCTAAATAGAATCCTGATTATATTTAAGAGCCATTTGAGCTGTGCCTCTGGTTGTGAATGCACACATCTTGCAACTCTGACATAGTGAATTCTTATTTTTTCTTCAAGGTTCAAATCAAATGCTACCTCCTTCAGGAAGTCTTTGGTGATTTCCCCCAATTGATAATTCATTTCAATTCGACAAGCATTAATATTGTAAAAGCCACAGTAGAAACAAAATTTTAAAAATGAAAAAAGTCACTCTGCCTTTAAGAAGTACACATTCTACAAAGGGCTACAACTTGTAAACAAAAAAGTAAATACAAGATAATTTGAAGAGGGAGATGAGTAAACACTTGCCCTAAGAGGTAACAACTGAGAAGAGTCAGCTCCTTGAGGACAGGAGCCACTGCATCTTTGTGATTGTATTCCCTAAGCCTCAAACACGGTAGGCACTGAATAAATGCTTGGTGAAACTTTCTGTCAATATTGAAGTTATTCTCAAAACGAAATTTCTCCTCCACCCTTTCTGATATTCAACCTTCAACTGAAAACCATAATGAGATTCCCATTATTATATGGTTTATCAGAAGAAATTTCAGGAGAGAGTGAGAAAAAGAATCTTCAGAGTGCTGAGTCTACAGGAAATCACGAGTAGTTGCTTCTCTTCGTGACAGTAAGGAAACCACAAGCCCAAATAGTTACAATTCAAACACTGCAAGAACAACTGGGTAAGGTCTGGAGAAAAGAGATGGGGAAAGAAAGCAATATTTCCTTCAGGCCACATCCAATGACAAGTTCTTGGGCAGAAAGAAGTCCAATATAATAGAAACTGACCCCAGTGACTGGCTTCTAGTGTCAGTTCTACCACTGATTTACTGTGTAATCCTAAACAAGTCACTGCCCCTTAGTTTCCTCTTTAAAATGAGAGGGCTAGCCTGAAACTGTTCTAAGGTCCCAAAGACCCTCCTATTTTACGATTTATGCAAACAGCTTCTGGTTACGGGGCTGAAGGGTGTGGCAGTGATGAAGAAATAGTCCAAAAAGCCAGCAGGAATGCCATCTTAAGCAATAAGACAGAGCTAAGGGACCTCTTCCTTTAGGTTTTTCCTTCCTTCTTCCTCTGCGCTCTCCTATGACAGGGCTAACTCCTCTCCAACCTCCCAGTATCTCAACAGGGTTACTCCTCTCCAGACACGCTGCCTCAACCCCGTCCCCCTCAAATGCACACACAAAACAGTCACTCTGTAAACCAGGACGCAGGCAGACACAGGTCATACTGAGACCCATGGACACACGCTCCGACAAAAACAAAAACACAGACAAGACGGTCTCAGGGAGACCCGCGTCTGTGTACCGAGACGCAGACGGTCACACAACCAGGACATAGTGTCGCACAGACACAGCCTCACACAGAAACGGACATGGAGACACACACAGAGACAGACAGACACACAAACATATACACGTCCAGTTCCCTCCCTCTCTTCTTTCTCCAGCCCCGCCCCGGGAACAACCTTTGTTTCTGCTCCACGGACTGGCACCAGGTTGGGGATCTTGGCCTGGACCCCATCACCCCGGGACAGATACCAGCCCACTGCACGCCCGTTCCATCCCACCCTGACTCACCCGCTCCCGCCTCCAGACTCCGGCTCTGGCTCCAGCCTCACCACCCTCCCTTAGAGCCATTCCCGGCGCCGCTTCCGGCCCTGTCATGTGACCCGCGGCTGCCGGCCGGCCCGGATCACGTGCTGCAGCGTTCAGCTGACGGGACCCCGCCTCCCCCGCCCTCCCTGTCTCGGCTTTCCTTGCCCGCAAGTCCTGCCTCCTCCTGCGCCTCCTGGCGACTGAGTCCTGAACTACAGGAGGTACCTGGGAGGAAGAGAGAGGAGGAGGAGGAAGGAGGGAGAAGAGGGGGAGAAAAGGAGGAGGAAAAGGAGGAAGGCGGGGAGAAGAGGAAGGAGAAGAGCGGGAGGGGGAAGAGGAAGAAGGAAGTAGGGCAGAGAGGGAGGAAAAGAGGAAAGGAAAGAGGAAGAGGGAGAGAAAAGGAGGAGGAAGAGGAGGAAGGCTGGGAGAAGAGGAGGAAGGAGAAGAGGGAGAGAAGAGCGGGAGGGGGAAGGGGAAGAAGGAAGTAGGGGAGAGAGGGAGGAAAAGAGGAAAGGAAGGAGGAAGAGGGAGAGAAAAGGAGGAGGAAGGACAGAGGAGGAGGGAAAGGGAAGAGGGGAAGGGGGAGGTGAACGGTGAAACCTTACTCTATTTTTACCAGAAACTTCCAAAGAAACTGAGGACGTTCAGCCTGGAGAAGACTTGAGATGGACATTGACAGCTGTCAAGTGTCTGAAGGGCTTGTTGTGTGGAAAGAGGATTAGTCTTGTTAAGTTCGTCTCCAGAGCCCACAGAATCAGGAGCATTCAGTGGAAGTTGCTGATGGTCACATTTGGGCTCAATACCAAGGAAATCTTCCATAACAGTCAAAGCTGTCCAGAACTAGAAGGGGCTGTGCCAGTAGCTAGGGGGTTGGCAAAGAAGGCTGGATGACCATTTGTTGGGGATGTTGTCCCGAGGGCTTTCTTATTTGTGTTTGGGTTAGAGGAGTTGAGCTCGGTAAACCTCTCCCATAACTGAGGTTCTGTGATTCTAGGGAGGGAGGAAGGAGGCATGACCTTGCCAGGAAGCCTTTAACAACCAAACTCAGGCCCTGCAGTCAACCCACTGAGTGGCACCTTATTCCCAACAAACAGCAACTACATCTTCCTCTGTCTTGTCAAGTCCCATTTCTTGATCAGTTTATACCAGATGACGTGGTTCTTCTGCCCCCACCATGTAGGTCTGCCTCAGACAGACGTTTAGTCAAGGTCAGGAGACATTTTGTATCCATCGGTAAGTCAATCAATAAGCATCTATTAAGTGCTTTCTATGAACTAGGCTCATTTTATATTGGGAGAGACAATTTGTGCACATATAGTCCAATTTTTCTGGGACTGGAGTACATGAAGGGGAATGCTTTGTGAAATGTAACCCTTAAGTCAGAGATTTCCACCCAAAGGCATGTTGGAGCCAGCTCCTACCAGCTGGTGAACATATTGTTTAATTTTCAGTGTCACTTTTTATACCTTGGAATTCGAAAAGCTGCAAATCAAGGTGTGATTTATTGTTTTATTGATTGTCTGGACTTAAGAGGATGATGGAGAAAATGTTAATAGTGAAAATTAAGCTTAAAGGTATATCGGAGTACATTTTTACCCCCAGAGAATTAGTTGTTAAGCATTTATCAACACACTACTGTTCCCATCTGATAAGAAGAACTTCTAAAGACCTTTCATTTCTCTGGTCTATTGCCACTGCTTAGGTAGAAATGGAAACTTCAGCATCTGTGCTTCCCCGATGCTAGATAAAAGCTCCCCTTACAAGCACTCAGGCTCACAAGAGTTCAAACTGTAGAAAAGTTTCATTTACATAGTAAAGGATGTGGAGAGAACATGTACCTGAGGCCACAGAGAGTCGCAGGACCCCTTCAATCTCCATAAATCCATATAATTTCTGTGGTTCCTCATGTTGCCCTCCTCCTTAGGCAATGGTGTGCTGGTAAATGTTTTACAACTTGCTTTCTAAAAAAAACAAAAACAAAAAAACTGTGTACCTCGGACACACTTTTAAGTTTAACTTGCATTATTAATATTTCTATCCTTTTCTTCAATCTAGACAAGCAACAAAACAATAAATCAGGCCCTGATTTTATAGCCTTTGTTTGCCAATTCCCAAAATGTAAATACACAGGAAAATAAGCTAACTCCAAGATTCCCCTGGCCCGAGCCCTAGCAAAGGAGATGGAGATCATTTCTCCCTGTCGGTGCTCCCTTTAGGTCCCTTTCTCTGAGACACATTTTGTTCTTTTGCCGAAATCTCCAGTTACTCTACCTCTCCTTCGTGGTTCTTCTTAGATCTTATAAAATGTTGTAACTCCTGGCCCTCAGGACGGTTGCTGTCCTAAGATGCCCTTCCAAATGAGTTTGTTCTTTTTACTCACAGTTTTGCTCAGCTCTGCCTCACCATTCCTCAAAGGTAAGCTCTATTCAGCAGTGTTCATTTTTTTTTAAGTTTATGGAAAAAATTACTCTGGTGCCTTAGCTAGCATTTTCAATTTTGTCTAAGCCAGAGTGCTTCTAGTATTTTGAAATTTCATCTTCTTTTATTACCCACCTTCTACACAAGAGGCCTCTTCTGACTAGCAGTGGGAATACCTTCTTCTATGACTGTTCAAAGAGTTTCTTTTCCCCTTGGCATTATTAAGGTATGATGAGTCAGTCCTATTTGCACCCATTTTCCCATTGTGCCTAACCAGACTGCCTCACACTTATGTCCCTCTATATTTGAGGGTTCAGAGTGGGCCCATGTACTCCACCTGCTTTTAGTCTCCTGTCTTCCTCTGTGGCAGGTGGACTGAATTATGCAAATTACTCCAGGCTGCTTCTCCCAAAATCAAGGAGAAAGGAGCAGAGCTAACAGTTTCTAAGAGTCTGTGTAGAGATTTTTGAGGTTTTGTGCCTCAAAGACAGAGGGGGTAGCCTTGCTCTGGGGGCAAAAATGTGTGCCCTTTCTATAGAAACTAGGATAGGGGGTAAAACACTAGGTGTTTATTTTTTTCTCCTATAGGCTAGAGGAAGCCACTGAATGTTGTTAACTAGGACAGTGTCATAGACACGTCTTAGAATGATTGTTTTGGCAATCTTGTCAAGGATGAACTGCCAGAGGAAGAGACTGGAGGCTGTGTGACCAATTAGAAGGCTATGGCAATAATCTGGGTAAGAGGAAAAGTCAAATAGAGAGAATCAGAGGACAGCAATATATGGAAGTCCAGGGAAGAGATACCATCCAAAAAGAGAAAGATGGTCAACAGTAGCTAATGCTGCAGAAAATTCAGGAAAGCTAGCTGGGCTGGGAGTTCGGGGTGGGGGGGGGGGGGCACCTTCAAATGTAACAATTGGTGACTTTTGAGAAAATAGTTCCCAGAGTGGTGGTGTCAGAATCCAGATTGTATAGGGTTGAAAAATCAGTGAGTATAGGGATTGAGGAAAGAAGTAGAAAAGTTATGCTAGGCAAAGAGAGGGATTGTCTCATCCTCTGACAATGGAAGAAATGATGAGGGAAGATCAAGAAAGGTTTAGGGTTATGAAGGAGGAAAGTTAAGAAAATCCATGATAGCCTTAACCTTCTCAGTACAGTAGGAAACTAACATCTGCTGAAAGAAGGGAGTTAGGGGTATAGTTGGGGGCTTGAGGGGGAAGATTTGAAATAGCTACTGGAGAAATATAATAGAAAGTCAATCAGATGAATAAAAATATTGCTGTGCAGCAATGAGGGCCAGGTTGAAATTAGATTACATGGATTTGTAATGGGAACACTATACATAGTTTCATAATTTCCTACAGTTGTGCTCAGCAGCTGGGGAGTTAAATAGAGAAGGTAGATGGTAGAGTTGAATGTTAGCAATGTTCAAGTAGCTGAAGATGAAGGGAGAAGGGATTTGATGGTAGAGGTTGGTGCCCTGTTGAACTTGTTAACAGTAAATTAGAGACTAGAAAGGATGGTAAATGGAAATGAAACCAAGGCAGGGAGGGATGAAAAGTGTGCAGATTAAGGTAAGGATGAAGAGAAGGTTTTAGAGGAAGGAGGCAAGAGAGTCATAGATTTAGAGGTGAGGTAGAAGGCTCTTTAATCCGGTGTCCTCAGTTTATAGATGAGGAACTGAGGTTGAAGAATTTGGAAGCAAGATTCCCAAGGTCAGAAGTAATAAGCATTTTTTTTTTCACTCAGTGACTTCAGTAGTGTTTGCCTCTTCATGACATTTGGGGTTTTCTTGGCAAAGATAATGGAGTGGTTTGCCAAATGAGTAAACAGGATTAAGTGACTTGCCTAGGATCACCCAGCTAGTAAGTGTCTGAGGCCAGATTTGAACTCAGAAAGCTGAGTCTTCCTGACTCCAAGCCTGGTGCTCTATCCACTGCACCACAGAGCGGCCCCAAATAAGCATTAGAAATAGAATTCAAACCAGGTCCTCTGACTGCAAGGCTAGTGTTCTTTTGAACAACAGCAACAATCTTTTCACTGCACAGCGTTGCCTCTTGGAAGTTATCTGGAAAGTCAGAAATTGATATCCGAGAAGGAAATTTCAAAGTTTGAGATCTCAGACTTTATTCAGTAAGTCACGATGTGCTATGAAGGGTTAATTTTTTTAATTGATGCTTTTTGTATTTATATCATGTTCATTTCTAGAAAGGGGGAGGGGAACCCCTCCCAACTCCTGGATTAAACCTTCCTTAGGAAAAAGAAAAAGAAAAAGAAAAACAACCAATACAATGGCAATTTGACAGCTCTTTACCAGAGCTTTTACTTTTTTTACTTTCTGCTCTTTTTACTCTTTTACTTTCTGCTACCAGAAGGGAAGTATTAGGGGTGGGCCTGACACTGGCACCCTGTTATTTAAGGTTTGAGTTGAGATAAAAAGAGGCATTTGGACGTCACTGAACAGGGCTAAGATTTATTTAGCCTTAACATGGCAAGGATATTCAACAAAGATACAGTGGCACTTAGCTTGGGTAGGCGGTCCCCCTCAGCTGCATATAGAACCATGTCTGGACAGCAGGGCAGGGTATTGTGACTCTTGTGGTCTACACAGCCATCAAGTTGGAGGGGCCTGAGAAGTCGTGTAAGACAGCCAGCGGCTACTAGGAAACTGCACGGAGAGGCGGAGCTGAGCCTTGACCACCCCCAGCCAGTCAAGTCCTGGCTTTGCTGCCTTTGAAGAATCCATGATGGCAGCTGAGGGGGTAAAAGAGGGAAAACCCCGAGAGAGAGTGATCCTCTCATTGGAGCTGTGTGTCCTTTTCTATTCTATATTCTATTCTATTCTATAGCCTGAGGCCTCAAGGCCACACATGGCCCTTTAGGTGCTCAAGTGCTGCCTTTTAACTGAATCCAAACTTCACAGAACAAATCTTCTTAATAAAACTGTAAAGCTTGGACTCAGTCAAAAGGCTGCACCCAAGGACTTAGAAAGCTATATATGACTCAAGGCCACAGGTTCCTCACCTCGGACTTATTGCTGGTTTTTTATTTGCTTAGTTTAGCTTCCTTTTAGTTGTCTTTTCATTTACTTTGGAGTCATTATGTACATATGTATACATATATATGATTCAACTTATTTCACTTTATAATCAAATATTTTGTAATATAAAACTTATAATACAAATATTCCATGTTTTTAAAAATTCCTCATTATTCATCTTTTCTTACAGCACAATAATATTCAATTATATTTGTATACCATAGGTTTTTCAGACATTCACCTATGGATGAGTACCTATTTTATTTCACAAAGAACGGTGCTACAGATATTTTCTGTATGTTGGAATTTTGTTTCTGTCTTTGACTTCCTTGAGGACTATGCCTGATAGTGGGATTGCTAGGTTATAAATATTGAAGGGGAGTGATGTGATTAGATTTGTGCATAAGGAAAATCCTATGAGTCATTATGTGGCAGACAAAAAATCAAATGTCATTTTAAGCTACTTTAATGGAAGTCTGGTTATGTCAAAAAAGGGAGTCAATAATAATATTGTACTCTGCCCTGGTCACATTACATCTTCAATATTGCATTTGTTTTGGAGCAGCCCATTTTACAAAGAACATTGAGAGACTCCAGTGGGTTCAGAGAATCAATCAATTAACACATTAATCACCTATTATATGCCAAGCATTCTTCTAGGCACTGAGGATACAAAGGCAACATATGAAATAGTTTCTGGACTATTATATGAACTATATAAACTCCACAATCTCTTGAGAATATAAACTCTCAAAGAATTTATAGTCATTGTGAAGGGGACAGGAACATAACATGTACTTATATATACATATTATACATATATATACACACATATATGACAAGATAATTTGAGAAGGCAGTAGCAGCTAGGGGTGGAGTAGAGTCTCGAAAGGCCCAATTTTGAAGGTGGCACTTAAGCTGAGTAATTATGTGACACCTAACTTCCAGGTTTTCCAAATGCTTTGCATACATTATTTCATTTGATCCTAACCACAACCTGTGAAGTAGGTATGACAGGTATTATTATTCTCATTTAACAGATGAGGAAACTGAGGTTCAGAAATGAGGTAGGAAGCATCAAATGGAGGATTAAAAATCCAGTCTCATTTGATTTGTAATTATGGTATTCTTTCCATTTTTGCCATGATTCCTCTCAGAGAATGGTGAATAAGATGGTGAGAGTAAGTCATGACTAGGTCATATTCAACAAGTTTAATATTTGATAGGCTTATAGGCAGTGGATAGCACTGGGCAAGTCCCTTCAGTTTCCTGTGAAAATCTGTGAAATGGGCATAACAGTAGTACCTCCCCCCCGCCAGGGTTGTTGTGAGGGTCAAATGAGATAGTATTTGTAGAGTTTATTACAAACTTTAAAACATTATATCTATTGCTATTATTCAGTTTTTTCAGTTGTGTCCAACTCTTTGTGACTCTATTTGGGGGTTTCTTGGCAAAGATACTGGAATGGTTTGCCATTTCCTTCTCCAGTTCATTTTA